TCCAAATAAGAAAAACTGCAATTAATTTTAATATTTCAATAGCGATAGAGTAGCGGTTGTTTTTCAACGTTTGCGTAAACTTTTCTTCCGTACGGATCAGCATTAGTGACGCATCTGTGCAGCGATTCTTATGAAACGTTACACTTCTAAGACACGAAACCTTCAGACTAACAAAAACAATCAACTCATCATGAAAGATCCTTTTTTTTCGTTTTACAACACGCCCGATGAAATACGTAATGTTCGTTCTTTTTTTTGTCAGTTAACAACAACATGACGTACGGCACGTACATAATGCAATTGTGAGAATTCAAATTGATTACATAAAATCGCGCTACGTGCGATTTTCATAATTCTACGATGATACATCTAGACGTACATCGTCGCCGACGTCACTTTTATTCGCAAGATTTACGGGATCGATGGTTAATGGTTCATTAGGGAAGCGATTCTGTAACCCGTTCCGCAACTATAGTACGCAGGATTTATTCGAATCTTTGGCAATAAATCTAGACTAGAATAGTTGGTAAATTAGCGATAGGTAAAAAGCGTCGGGGAGGACATGTACCACGTATAGAGCTACCTGAGTGCTTCTCCTCGTACATCGTGTAAGAGAGAGAAAAGGAGAAAGAGAGAGAGACTTCTTTTCTCTCGGTAGTTACAACGTGCCAAAGTCAAGGAAGCCGTCAGGGCCGCGAGCGGCTAAAGGCCGGTTTTGTATGTAGGGCGCATCGGGTACGAGGCATAAATCGCTCGAGGCATTCGCCAACGCAAAGAGTAGACTGACAAAACGTGCACGCGCAACCAAGGGCGTAGCGTGCGAACGTTTGGCTTCATTTCCCAAAGTTCACCCAAGACTCGGGAAATTTCATTCGGAAGTTTTCAGCTATCAAAATACAGAGGTCATTTTGTAAGGAAAAACCAAATCTCCCCTCGAAATTTCCACTTTATTCCGATGTTCTTATCTACTGGTCTATTGCGATATGGATTATACGAAATGCAAAATAGTGGAGTGAATATCACAATCAAATCTCAACGCTGTGTTTAAACGGCCGAATTAATTTATCAAATCTACACGGAGAGAATTTTCTCTTAAAATTTATCCCGAAAATCATATGAGCGTGGGACAGCATGGCATTTTGCAGATCTTTATGGGAGTTTTTCGAAATTTTACCGTACATTTTACTACAACAATTTCAAGATTTTTAAACTTATTTAGGGAAACAACAACAATTAATCAACGCGTTGCGATAACGTGCGAAAATCTTATGTGTTTTGCGGTCGCTATCAAGTAAAATGTATGGTAAAATTTCAAGAAACTCTCACAAAGTCTCCATAAAGCTCTTCGAAATGCCGTGCTGTCCCACGATTACGTGATTTTCAGGGTAAATTTTGAGAGAAAATTCCGTGTACGGATCTACAAAAAAAGAGTGGAAGTTAATTTTCACCTCGCTCGCAAATAACATATAAATAAACTTTGGAAATCTCGTTTGACATCCCTGTTTGACAATCCCGCCCCGCGCCATTGTCAGCGCGCCACAGTCGTGAGCGCACGTGGGATAGTTTGACACATATATATACGTATCGGTAATCGGCCAGGGGGAGGGGGAGAGTCGGTAGGATCGGAGGGCCAAGATGAAATCGGTGAAAGGTGCTCTGGGGAGAAAAAAAGACAGCAACCCATTTTGGGGCCCACAATTAGTGCTCGAATTATTTGGATTGTTCGTAACACACTCTACTCTAGGAAAAATTTTGACCGTTTTTTTTGTAGTTAAGCAACTTAACATTTCGGTGCCCCTTAAGTGAAAATTATCTTTGCGTTGCTGAATATCGACGGAACTAATTGAGAGAATTGATTAGTATTACTGAAAAATCTTGGATATAGGTAGAATCCGATAAAATTTTATGCTTGATATTGTTTGGATATAACGTTCTAATACAAAAAATAATAAAGTACCTAGTTTGTATAAATATTCAGTTTAGTTGGCGCCATTTGATGATATCATTACTTTTGTAGAGAACATACAACTTTTTAAAATAAAAGTAATCCAAATAATTTAATTGTATAATTCTTGATTGGATGACGCTTATACTTGGCGTCTTTTTTAAACCTTTTTTTTTATTAAAAAAGGTTATTTTCTAAGGTTAGTATTACTTACTAAAATCGTGGATATAGGTAGAATAGCTGTATTGCAATTTTTAGTTACGCGGGGTAAAATTCGTAAAAGATCAGAGTTACGAACAATCCAAACGATTCGATTGCAAATTGTGGGCCCCAAAATGGGTCGCTGCCTTTTTTTCCCCCGGACAGAGATCATTTTTTGTTTGTTAATTGCCTGTCGAGAGGCGGCCTCGCGGCCGCGACGGCGGGAGAACGAGCGTTTTTAATCGCGACTCCCGCGACTCTCGCGACGGAGCCGCGAGAATCGCGATTAAAACGTAAAAATAGCTGGCGCGCGTATTGTACGATCGTTAGTCGTTGCCGCCCCGTGCATCTAACACGCAAACCCGGAGCGGCTGCGTCGGTTAGCACGCTACGTGCGTGTACGCGTGGCTCCCTGCGGTCCTCCTCGCGCTTACCGATCATCAGTTCGGTTGTGTCACTTCGGGGAGCGAGAGGCCGCGCCGTCCTTTCGGGAGGGCCGTTCACGCGCGATCGCGCGCGTCCGCGCAATAGTCGCTGGTTCGATCGCAAGTTTCGCTCGGTATCGGTATCGAGTGATTGAAATCGGTATTGATCTCGGTGAGTTCAAATTGCGCTATCGCAAAAGCGCGGTCCGCGCGCTTAATTCTCCGCGGCGAGGGGAAATCTGACACGAGGTCCTCTTCTGTGTCTCCCTCGTACTTGTGCGACGAAAAAAATTGAACTCAGCGAAATTATATACCGGTTCCTGCTCAAAACGTGTCTGCGTTCGCTATCGGAGGTCAACGGTGTACCGTTAGAATCGCCATTTTTTTAAACAATTACTCCTATAAGCAACGATTACAGTTAACCGGGGTTCAATTAACGTTTATGGATCCTGCAAAAGAGGACGATGTTTTACTCGAGGAAGTTAATTGCATCGTCAATCTAAGCTCTTTACCTTTACCTCGACGACTCGATTCTCCTCATTTTTGTGCTGCGGTAGAAACGTTTCTGCGCCGTGACGTCGTCATGTGAGACTTAATTGAGAGACTCCAAGTGTAAATGTGAAGTTTAGTTGGCCTAATTGGACGTTTAAAAGGTTCTCGGCTCGCAATTAGATGTCAATAGGATTTCAGTGTCTAACAGATTCATTGCTCACGCACAAGTTTTTCAGTGTCGGTTCAACTTCGCGCAATTTTTGTTTTTTAACGACTCATTTAGTTTTCAATTCGGTTGGTGTAATAGACGATCCACAGGACACGCGAGTAAGTTAATACTGATCGCTCTTTGAGTGTCGTGCGATGCTGTAGATCGACGGCTTGATTAAGACAGATTGAACGAGGTACTGGCAGTCCGCGCCAAATTGAGCAACGCTTAATAAAAGTCTGGAAGAGTCGGCGGATGTTCTCCGTAATGGCGTGTTCGATAAATCAGGAATATCTGTGTATACGTGTCTTATTTTTTATTCGATAGCACTGACAAGTTTTGACAACTTCGCTCGTGCGCGATGCGTTTTGACAATAATTCAGCGACGAGGCAAAAGGAAAGAATCGTGAACTACACAGACGAGCGAATTAGTACTTGTCATTTTTTGGACGTCAGTAATGTAGATTGCCTTGATTGAGGCGGATTGTGCGTGATGAATATTTGCTCCGTTCATTCCTGCCGCTTTATCTATTATAATTAATTTTAATGGCAAAGTTCTCTGTATATTCCGGCTACAAGCTCGATTAATGGCTGACTGATATAACGTGCATAAAATGTTTAATTATTGACCGAACAGTTTCTAACGTTTTTATTAACTCACAACTTGCGATGCAATTTATTAATTTGGGTGTTTTGCGTTTTTCTTTTGCTCGCACAATGATGTGTATAAGTAATACTCTTTTACATATCTTTTTGTTTCTGTCTGATGATGCAATAAATACGTAAAATACGTAAGCAGCAAATATCTAAGAAAACGCGGAAAAATGACGATAATATTTTTCTTCAATCGCAAACGTGTGGTTAAATTTAGTATCCGATACTCCTTGACAATGTATTATCAGATAATAATCCAGGAGATACAGAAGTTTTTATAGACCGGCAATAGTCACTTATTACTATCGACACATTCGCAACCGCGATTTTATTCTAACGTGACTCAAGCGCGCTAGCGCGATTCGTAACAGCGTGCAATATAACAATATTTAATTGTACAGATCCGTTTCTCGGGGCGACATTAGCAGTCGTTATTCTCCCCAGAAAATTTTCTACAGTACACTTTTTGTCACGTTATTCATGAAGACTCGTTCGTCTCTGACCTCTTACGTAACCGATGTTTCTAACTTTGGCCTATTGCTGAGGAAATAAATATATCTTGCTGGCTCTTGGAATCGACGTTCGACGGAAACTTCAATTTTGCGCCCAACATTTTTTATCCGAATTGTTTTATGCCATCTGAATTCTATTAAATATTTAACATGGAGAAATTGTCTGAATTCTAAAAGACATTGTTTTTATCTCGAAATACACTTCTTTTTTTTCCCGGAAACGTGACGTTCTTTTAAGAGATAAATTCTCTAGATAATACCTTCAGAGTTTTATGAAAAACTATGACTTGTAAAGTCAATTCCGATTGAAACAGAAGCATTATTGTACGATGTGTATCATGTATTTGAAATTCTATACGTTCTCACACCTTAATTTTTCACACTCGAACGCTAGAATTTCCTCTCGCGCGAACTGCACTCTAAAACTTTTTGAAGAAGAACCCGAATGCTCTATCGATTATATCGAAATGTGAAAAGTAAATCCTTATCAGAGATTGATAATTAAGTCGCAAAATTGGGTCGACATTCACGCGAGTGTCATCAGTTCTGTTATCGCCTTCCAGGATCGATGGAGATCGAAAACCAGATACACACGTACGTTTGAGTGCTTACGCGTAGCTTTCGTCACGCGCATTCCCGTCCGTTCTCGCGCTCGTAAAGGTCCGTTGAAGGATAATAAAAGTGCAGTGTGACATTTTCGCCGGTGTATGGCACGCGGGGTCGCGCGCGACATCGCTTGACGGAGAGGAAGAGCGTCGCTCGGGAATTTTGTGACGGGCGACAGAGCTGCGGGGATCATGGATTCGATACGAGACCTGAAGCGGCTGCTGTACGAGCGTACGGAGGCGTTGCGACGTCGCGACGAGATCGTCGACGTGCTCGAGAAGACGCTCGAGGAGCGCGACGCCATGATCTCTTACCTCCAGAACGAGATCGATAAGTTCCGGCAGATCGTCGATCTGAGCCTGGCGTCTGCTGCCATCGGTTCTAATCGGAGACTGAAGCGGCAGGCCATATCGGCCGAACCCCTCAGAGGCGACACGAAGCCGGTGGTGAAGTTCGCCAAGCCGCAAAGGTAGATCGGCGAGTGCCTTGGATCGTCGCGCGGCTTCTCTCTTGTTCGCCAAACTCATTTCTTAGAAACACTCTTTTCTTTCTCATTCTCGTTTGCCGCAAGTCTACACGGAGAGAATTTTCTCTTAAAATTCGTCCTGAAAATCATGTAATTGTGGGACAACATGGCATTTTGTGGAACTTTATAAGAGTTTTTTGAAATTTTTTCACTAGTAGAATGTGTGGTAAAATTTCGAAAAACTCTCATAAAGGTCTTCAAAATGCCATGTTGTCCCACGTTTACATGATTTCCACAGTAAATTTTAAGAGAAAGTGCTCTCCGTGCATACGTAGAAATATTTAATAATAAAACCGTATTTATCGTAAACCGAGGGGAAAACCGCTGGCCAAAATCGTGTACACCAATTCCCACTAATGCCCGGTGGGCATTACTTTATCTTATTATCTTATTTTATCTTATTACATCTTTATAATGCGCCAGCAAGACCTAATGTCCAAACTAATGCCTAAAAAATGCCTAGTAATGCCTAGTAACTCCCAGTAATGCCGTCAATCTGTACACCACAATACCCTCAGCGGTTTACCCCTCGTTGTAAACACAGTATGGTTTCGAGATGGTGAAATATAAGCATTTATACATAGAAAGTTATAAAAAAGAAATGAAGAAGAAACTACATAATTTTGCCAAAGTATTGTAATGTTCTGCTCCGAAAGAACCGTTCTTGTCGCATATAAACAGATAATTGTGGAATGGATTTTTACAACTCTCGAGCAATATAATATGCAATATGCAATTGAATGCCTGTAATTGAGTTGAAATATCGTATAATTATATAATAAAGTAAATACAGGGTAGGATAAATTCAATTAAGGTATTCTGCTGAGAGCGGTAACTACGCATGAATGATTCTACGGTTAAGCGGAACTTAATCACGAAGGTATTCGAGGATATCAATTTCAGCACTCTTGATAATACTGACTTGTACTTTCATATAGAAATCGTCCCGTCTTTAATGCTACACTTTAGAAGTTAATGAATAGTCCATCGCTATATTATTATAATCTTATAAGGTTTTCGTACCGTAAGAATTTTTCTGCAAGTTGAAAATCTGTTACCGAAAAGCCTTTCATGTTCAATAGTGTGTTTGTATTACTTATTTACTTATGCCGCTTTACTTATCGCTTTTTCCTAGGAATATTATTTCTTATGAAAGAAAGAAAGAGCGAGAGAAACTTAACGCAATGATTGTGTTTTCTTTTTCAGATCTCGCGAGCTGATAAAGACTGCCATATTGAACAACGACTTCATGAAGAATTTGGAACTGACGCAGATCCGAGAGATCGTCGATTGCATGTACCCTGTTCGATTTATAGCCGGTTCGATAATTATTCAAGAGGGAGATGTCGGCGCTACTGTCTTCGTCATGGAGGGTAAGTAAATACAGCTGTGCGTCTTCGTGAAACGTGACAGAAAATCTGATGAAAAAATCCGTGAAGCGTCGTGTGAAGATAAATTGAATAATAAATACAGACCGCGAACAATATCGCACACGATAAAAATATAAAGTATAAAAGTATAAAGAAATATAGTATAAAATTATTAAAACATATAAAGTATAAAATATAAAAATGATGAAATATCAACTGTGAAAAATGCGAGCACAGTTTCAAGTTCGTGCAAGGCGAGGAAACACATATATTTTCTCGTCTGTTCGAGTTCGATGAACTTCTATATCGTAGGACGTAGAATAGCTCAAAATATAAGAGACACGCTTTTTTTAATATGTATCTCAATGTAAATCACCGGTTTTTCAAAGCTCGATATATTTTTTAAAGTATTAATTATAAATAGGAGATTATTCCAGACAGGTGCAATTACGTAAGAAAGGACTGTATTTATTTATTTCATGCCTAATGAGCTATTTCGCAATTACATAGTAATCCATTCGATCTCTCGCACCGCTCGATTGATTTCTTTACGAGCCAATTTTCTCTCTCGCACGTGACTGTCTCTTCGAAATCGCAACACGCGTTCCATTATAATATTCTGTGTGTGAAAGGAACTTTCGCTTATAGATAAATCGTTATCCTTATCATGTGCCTATCGCTCACATATATTGCATTGTTTTTTATGTGGAAGCATCAATGCAAATTTAGTCTGATTGTCTCGCACAGGAAATGCTTTCACCATGTTTTTCTCCATAGTTACCATTGATGATAAGAGATCGACTGACTGGAGAAAAAGTCTTTTAGAAGAAAAGTTACATCATTATTAGCCAGAATTATTCGTGTCTTGTGTATATACGTTTACAAATTTGCTTATACCTTTTGTGCGAATATTTTAGAAATATAATCTCGTAATTGTACTAACGAGGGAACGGTCGGAAGTGTCCCTCACCGATTTCGATACGCTTCGGATATGTTGTAGAGCATTAAAAAATATTAGACCCGTATTTTTTTAGCGGCTTTTCTCGACGAAAATAACGGATTTTTTTCATTTTTTATGAATATCTTCGAAACTATGAGATTTATGAAAAAAACTTTTTAGACAAGAGTTATTGTAGAACCAGCCTTATGCGGGGTCTACAATAGACGCAGCAAGTCGCAAGAGATCGACCAATCCAGGGTTGTTAAAAAACATGTTTAAAAAGAAAAAACAAAACATAATATTTTTTCTGTTTAAATCTGTCTTTTATGTTTTAAACTTGTTTAAAATGAGTGCAAAAAGAAACACATTTAAAACATGAAAACACATGTTAATGCACTAACACTATCGACGCGCGACTCACGGACAGGTTTCCGTTCAACCGTAATGTATGATTGGCCTGTTTTGAACCTTTTTATCTAAAAAAAAACT